GACCATCCTGAATAACATTTAATCGAACATTAACGACAGAAAATTCGACCGCCGGGTGGTGCCGATCCGCATCAACAAGTGGATCTCGGCAAGATACAACTTCACGCACAGAATCACTGCTACATAAGACCAAGTCAAGAATTCTCAAATTATCGTTAAGTACGTTGTTGAATTGAATTAAATTACAATAAACAAAAGTTTCTAAAAAAACTTGTTGTTAATTGGTATTGTCCATTATCTGTAGCAAAAGCAGTGTACGGTCGTGATTTTGGATCTAGTTCGACCTGATAGTAACCCTGTGACAAATCTAAGTGAGAAAAGTATATCACTCATTACAATGAATGTAAGATATCACCTATACATGGTAACGGAAACTTATCATCTGTATGTTTAAAAGCCTATAATCAATTACTATACGTTACTTTTTTTTCCATTTAAATCCGGTTGTTTAGGCACAATTAATAATCATTAATATTATTCGTTTCCATCTTGGTAATTTAATTAAATAAAAACAACAATGTTTGTTGAGATGGATAATTTTATTTTTATTTTTCGGCTCTACCGGCTTTGACTACAGTTTGTAGTCATCTTCAGGAGAAATTAGCCACTTCAAATATACTTCGAATATTCTAAATCTAGATTTTTTACTCAAACTTTGTCTATAGACAATTTTTCTTCTTTATATATTTAGTAATTTATCAATTCTATTCACTGAAAACTCAGTTCCAACAAAAGCACACACATTATAATTTGATAATTTATCTATTTTTGGCGGAAAATTTTTGATATTCACGGCGTTCAATTCGTAAGCAAGCAGTTGCGGTTAATATTTTGTAGAGAGTGCAATTTCTAAGCAAGTTGTGATTGTTGCGATTTTTTGTTGTTGGGCTTCCTCAAGAGTAAAGTATACACGACTCGATCAAGAACTCTAGATGAGTTAAAACATAGAATCCAGGATTAATTTCACAGTGTACTAGCTGAGAGCTGAGATGTTGGTCAATGAGAAAATCAAAATCATGAAGAATCTCAACAGCAGATTTCAAGAATGCATTGCATACAGGAGGACGACATCTACAGGACGTAATTTAAAAAAAAATAAATTCCATTGTTTCTTAAATGGCAAATTTTAAGGTTTCAATTACTATGAATAAAATAATTTTTTTCCGTCACTCTTGGTATTATTGAATTGTTAAAAAGTTCCCTTTTTTGTGTCACTCTGTAGTAATCCATATGACTGTTGTAATTTGACTTTGCGACCAATTTACGTACAGGATACTTCCGATTTTTGTGGTAAATAACATTCAATTATAAACTTCATTTCAGCTAATCTATTGATCACTACAGATGTAGAACTGTCAACAACTATATTTAAAACCGAAATGAAATCTAAAGAGATGATTATTTGTACACTTGATGAATGACTAACTGAAGCGAAAGAAGATGCCAAGGTCAAGATAGATTTCTATTTATTTATGAAATAAATGAAAGCACAAGGTTTAGAATTAGATCTCCTTAATAGTATATTAAACAAATTCTTCACTCCAGCTCAAATAAAATGTATGAAGTCAGAAAAAAAGCCCTTTACCATCTAGGGTCTAAGGCACTAATAACACGCTGCACTAATGGGATTAGGGTCAAAATTTTCAACGTACAATATTCTCACTTTACTAGGGGGTAGCGGATATAACGTATTATAGGGTGTTGAATGAAAGGCCTTCTACTTATGTAGGTACACTTAACTTTATTTGCCTCTATCAACAATGAACAATACACTCGATGTTACAATTCCATTTTCTCCCTCTACAAATGTGACTTCGTGTTTTTTATGGTCTCGCGGCGATCCCTTCCAGACGATCCTTCAGCCAATTGGAGCGTTCCGCGTTTGAGCGTCGATGACCGCCGTATACTTTGTGACACTCCTCAAACTTAGAAAAACATCGACCACGATATTTGGACAAAAATTTGGGCTCTGGATTAGCTGTAGGATATCCTTGCGGTTCCTCACGATGCCATGTACCGAAAACAAGAAAAAATACATAAAAGCAGTAATGTGCACTGTTGTGTTCGTCAGTGGGAGGGTCCCAAATAGAACAATAACATAATAATGCATGTTTTTTCTTGTTGTCCACAATCCCGTTTGCCGCCACGAAATACCCGATTCGTTCTTCGTAGGCATCCCAACTAGCCGAATCATTTACGTTGAACGACTCTATTTTCCCTAGAATCGCCATTGTCATTCACTTTTAATCCTCGTCGCCAAAATGTTGTGTTCGTCAGTGGGAGGGTCCCAAATAGAACAATAACGTTTAGTTTAACAACTTTAACACATTTATTATTACAACACAAATCGTTACATCTAATTTACTTTGTATTACATTTGCTGTTAACCTTGAGCGAGCGTTACAATGCAGCGGACCCAACGGTACTGGTTGGCGCGCTCGAAACGTAGCGAGCACGTTTTCTTTTGGTCATGCGCATACATGACACTCCTCCCTCCTGGATTTCTCGAACATTACAAACGTAATCTTCTAAATACTGAGGTTTCTTTCGTTCTCTTGTTGCTCTCTCTCTGGTTGTCTCTTGGGCCTCTGTTGCTTCTGGTAGACTGGATTCAACGTTCTCTGATTGCTGATCTTGGCCATTCGTATTGTTTGCAGATGACTCTTCCACTCGTCCACGTAGTTGATCTGTGTGTCGCCTGGCAATGTTTCCATCCGGCGATTCCACTCCGTAGCTTACTGGACCAGTTTTCTCTGAAATTGAAGCTGGTATCAATTTCGGACCTGGAACATAAGATCTAGCATATATTAAATGATCTGTTGCAAAAGTTCTCGGAGTTTTGCTATCCCTCTTCGACTCTTCTTTTGCTCTCATTGATCGGGAGAAATCGGGTTTTACTTTATCCAACAATATTGTTAATCTTCGTCCCATCAATATCTCTGCGGGTGAGTTTTCAGTTGTACTATGAGGTATACAATGTTGTGTTAGTAGATATCTTGCGAATGTTTTGTGAATATCTTCGTCATTCATCTTCTTCAACACCGCCTTCACGTTTTGCACCATGCGCTCTGCCTGGCCATTACTACTAGGGTGATAGGGCGCTTACTAATGCTTGTCTCTTTCCATTCTTTTTTAGAAAATCTTTATATTCTGCAGAGTCTGCAGATTCTGCATATAAATGCTGTACCGTTGTCAGAGACGATGATCTCTGGCGAGCCGTGAGTTGCAAACAATTGTCTCAATACTGAGATTGTTGCAGCACTTGATGTAGTATGAACCTCCAGCCATTTTGAATAAGCATCAATTGTAATTAGAAATGTTCTTCCTTTTACCGGACCGGCAAAATCTAAGTGCAATCGCGACCAAGGCGCTTTTGCCCACTCCCATGGATGCAGTGGTGCCTTAGCTGGCATATTTCTTGTTTCTTGGCAAACCATGCACGTATTTGCTTTTTCCTCAATCTGCTTATGTATCCCTGGCCACCAAACATATGATCTTGCAAGGGCTTTCATCTTCACGATTCCTGGATGTGAAGCATGGAGTAGTTCTAGTATCTCTTTCCTCCCTCCTGGTGGAATCACAACCCGTGTTCCCCATAGGATACAATCCATGTAACATGATAATTCTTTGGCTCTTGCCACAAAAGGTTGAAATTCTGCATACACTTCTTTAGGATTTCGATGCCATCCTTTCCAAATCCATTCTCTTATCCTGGATAAGATTGGGTCCTTTGCCGTAGCACTCGCTATATCTTTTGCTTCTATCATTTTTTCAGGTAAGTTTTCTAACATCAGTACTTCCAATGTTCGTGGTGGTTCTCTGCATTCAGCTTTGAGTGGTAACCTGCTCAACGCATCAGCATTTGCTAACTGTTTTCCCGGTATATACTGTAAACTATAGTTATATACATTCAGTATGATCGTCCATCTCAGCATACGAGGCGATAAGATTTCTGGAGTAGGTTTATTTTTTCCCAAAATTCCCAGTAGAGGCTTATGGTCTGTCCTGAGCTCGAATGTTCTTCCGTAGCAATAATCATGAAATTTCTTAACAGCTAATGCCAAAGCTTCTCGATCTATTTGTGCAAAGTTTCTTTCCGTGGTTGTTAATGTATGGCTATGATAAGCGACAACAGTTTCTTCGCCCCCGTTGTCCCTTTGGCTTAAAACGCATCCCACTCCATATGGACTTGCATCAGCCGTGACGACTAATGGTTTATTTTCATCGTAGTGTGCTAACACAGGTTCTTTTGTTAGTAATTCTTTTAGTTTATTGAAAGCTTTTTTCTGTACATTTTTCCATTCATAAGTATTGTCTTTATGTAGAAGTTTATGTAACGGTTCAGCAATATTTGCTTTATCTTTCAGAAAGATATGGTAGAAATTAACCAAACCCAAAAATGCCTGCAATTCTGTTTTGTTAGTTGTGCGTTCTGTATTGAACGTATTTTATCTTCTGTAGGGCTAATTCCTTTTTCTGTTATTTGAAATCCCAGATAGTTAATTTTTTCTTATTTGAATGTACATTTTTCTTTTCTTACATGAAGTCCGTCTTCTTTGAAACGTCGTAACACTTCTCTGACCTTCATCTGTAGATCTTCATCTGACTTTCCAACACATAATATGTCGTCGTGATAAGGTAACACTCCGAACGTGTGTCAATAAATCTCTGAAAGATCTGTGGGGCCACAGAAACTCCAAATTGCAATCGGTTACATTTGAACACTCCTCTGTGAGTAATAATGGTTTGTGCTTCGGCGGCCTCGTCGTCCATAGTCAGTTGCAAATATGCTTGGGCCATATCAATTTTTGCAAATACCTTGCCACCTGCTAACGTTGCTAGAATGCTTTGAACGGATGGTACTGGGTACGTGTCGGTACGTAAAGCTTTGTTTAATGTCACCGATAATCGCCGCACAACCTAATTTCTCCGTTACTTTTTATGACACTTACGACTGACGTTCCCCACCTTGGGTGTTCTATTGGCTCTATTATTCCTTCACGTAATAATCTGTTTAATTCATCATCGATTTTCCCTTTTAACGCGAAAGGTATCTTGCGCACTTTCATCATTATCGGTTTTACGTTTGGATCAATATCGAATGATACTGGCCTACCTCGGTATGTTCCTACCTTTTCTTCAAATACTTCTGGATATTCGTGGGCGTAGTTTGGTGTATTGCTAACTATGCAATTGTCTATTCCTGTTACGGAAATTCCCAATGAATCGAACCAATTTCTACCCACTAGACTGGATCGATTGTTTTTTAGAATAATGATTGGTAAATTCATTTTTTTGTTTTTATAATCTACGGAGATCGTGCATTCTCCCAATGTATCAACTACTTTATCTTGATAATCGTTTAAAATTACCTTCGGTGGACTTAACTCTGGTAGTTTGTCTCCGAAAATGTCATGAAAAGTTTTCTTCCCAATAATGCTTGCTCCTGCTCCTGAGTCTACTTCCATTGGCAAGCAGTAACCGTTGATTTTGACAACAATAATTACCTTGTCAGGAATTCGGTTGCAATTAATTTTGTTTATTGGTGTTCTGTACCCTTGTTCTTTTTCCTCCTCCTCTTCTGTGTTGTCTATCGTCTTCGTTTCTGCTTGTCTTCTGTTCTTGGTTCCCGTTCGTTTCTTTTTTAGAAAACAAGCCTTTTCTGTGTCCTTGCTTCTTGCAGTATCTGCATTCCACATTCTTGAAAGCACATCCGTCCGGACTATGGTTTCCTTCACATCGAAAACATTTTTGTTTACGCGTGCGACTGTCTTCCTTTTTATTTGTGTTTTTGTTTGTGTTCATTGCACGGACTTCAGTACAGTTATTTCAACGCGTTCGCGAACGTAAGATCTTTCTCGGCTAATAAACGTCTTTGTAGTCCCTCATCCGAAACACCGCAAACTAGCCTGTCACGTAACATCATGTCTAGAGTGGTACCGAATCCAAAATTTTCCGCGAGCTGACGCAATTCTTTCACGAAAACTGCAATCGATTCACCCACCATTTGTTCACGACGATAAAATCAAAATCTATACACAATTTCCGATGTACAGGATGTCCCAATTCCGATGTCCGCATAGGCTATCTCCGAAACTAAAAGAGATAGAAAAAAAGTAGCTTACATGTCATGATCTCGTTTTTCGAGAAAATGCTAATGCCGAAAACTCCGAACAGCCCTATCTATGTTTTCGCCCTATCGGCAAAAACTGAAAATTTTGCGAAAACGACATTCGCGAATATCTCACTTATTATCAAAGATGGAGTATTATAAATAAAACATTATATGGGCAACTTTTTACGAAGAATTCAGTGGCGTAGGTAGAATTTTTTTCCCATCTTTTATTTTCGAGATTTTAGACGTAACTTTATTTTTTTAAATGGAAACCATAGTTGGCTATGACTTAAAATAATTTGTTACTTTGTTCTGATAACAAATATATATAGTTTGTGGGGTATATTTCTTATAGTTATTGAAAAATTAACAAAAATTCATTTTGTTCCATCTAAATCTAATGTATGTATTTAAAAGTTAATGTTGCTATGGTGATAACCATACATACCATATACCATATGATGGAATATAATGTATCAACCACGTAATGGTAAGTACTTATTCAATACTTAGTCTAACCAACCTCACTTTGTTTCAGGACTCGGCGCGAGACCCATCGTGCGGCCCCACGGGTACACGTGGCCCCATCCACCAAGCCCCGCTCATCTCGGGGTGTTTATAACCTTCCTGGATCATACAAGGGTCGCAAAGTAGGCTTCCCACAACAGTGTCTGGCCGTTCCATAGCAAAGTGCGCTGGGACGGAGGACGATAACATCCCCTGAGTCCGACCACGACGCCTCAACCCGAAACCTTCAAGAGAGAGCAGAACCAAGCCAACAAGTTTAAGCCTAAGTACATATAACGAAAGATAAATAACACATAATGTAAATAACTCTGTACAATGATAACATGTAAAAAAATTTTTAATATCAAAACCAGAACTTGTAAATAATTCTCTGCATCACGACACAGCACACGTATATCACAGATTTCTTTAAACGAAGATTGTAAATATCACAGACTTTCTTCCTTAACGAAGGGTGTAAATATCACAGATACCTTCTATAATTAAAACAGAACGTACAACAAAGCATAAATAAATAATAAATAAATAAAGAATTTACAAATAATAAACAAGTCAATAGCCTAATTACTCATAATTCATCAGGCTCTGATTTTCTTATTGAAAAAATAGCATCTGCATATTCCTTTAATTTTGCAAAGCGCTTACCCGTGGCAGTCAGATTACCCAGAGTGCTTCTATCTAATACACCAATATCTAAATCTCGCGGCGGTTTATCCTTCGCGTCACAGTCTTTTTCGTTGTGCCCTACCCGCCCTACCCCCGCACAGTGCCTGCAAGTTTCATCGCCCGTGCACGCGCGCGCGATATGCCCAAAGTCCAGGCATTTGAAGCAACGAGTAACCTGGACGTAGTCTACCACCCGACAAACCCTTCTATCGATGTATACTCGTTGCTGACTTATCAAATGCTGCCAAACGTTTGGCGGGGTCTCCAAAATAATAGCACTTACCCCCTCCTTCTTTCCTATGCGGGTAACCACCCTGACATCCCGCATAAAATCTCCCCTACCCTTCTCCTCCAAGTTTCTGTTATACAGGTCTTCCTTCACGGCGTCGTCTCCCAACTCCACCGGTACATCATACACCTGGACAGCAGGCGCAAACTCCCTCGGCCTTTCAACTTTAAAGCCGGCTTCAACTATTCTTTTACAACCGAGAATCTTGGTCACCTCGATCCCATCCGCCGCCTCCAGGAGTATTCCTGGATTCTTTGTTCTTCGCATCCCTCTCACCTTCACGTTCTTCAGTTCGTTGACCACAGCAACGCACGGCACAGCGCGGCACCTTACCGCAAACCCCGGCAGACCACGGCAGACCACGGCAGACCACGGCAGACTACGGCAATGCACGGCACAGCGCGGCACCTCACCGCAAACCAGCGCTCACAGAAGATCCCCAAGTGGAGTGATGCTCCTCTCACCCCGAACAATTACCCACGACGAGAAAGCCTCGTAACACCAACCGTAAACTCACTTCTGGTCAGACCGGAAGTACACCCGTCCCAATATATACCCCTCGAGGAGTTGGGGGGTTCCTTAAAGGGGGGCAAAACCGCCCTCAGAAACGATCTCCGGGCCTCCGTTTAGAAGTTACGGCCGTTTTTCCACTCACTGCCGGTGTTGTAAAAATTTATTTCACTCACCCCGTATGTGTTCGTCTGCTGACGTCACAACAAGAAATTTCCAATCGGTCCTTTTATCTGCTTTTCTCAGTCACACACAGACCTTTTTCGTCGCACACTGACTCTGGGTCGGTGAGCGACTCTGGTCCTTACGAGCACCTAACACAAAACTTAATTACTAAATCGTTAATAACTTTCACAAATTTAAACTAATTATCACTAAACTAACTCTACACTAATACTAATATGGTCCTTTACGTTGGCCAACACAATACTCACTTTAAATCGCGAAAATATCACCGAAATTTACGTTTTCTTGCGAGCGCAGCCGAAAAGCGTGCGTTCGCTATGAAATCATAAACACGACTAAAGGTAAACTGTAGCAAGGACACACACACACACACACACACACACTCAACACTTTCATTGCGGTTTCTGGGTGTAACCCTTTACCACACTCCGTCTCACGCAACTTTCGCATCGGCTCACTTGGCCTTCCCGGAGGAAGTTTCCATCCCTGCCGCGTGGAGGCGGAGCCCCTACTATCTTACACAACCAACACCAACGCAGGACAACAATTTGGTACAAAAGTTTAAACAATACTGATAATTACGCTTACTCAAATCTTCTTTCAGGTTACANGAAGTTGATAAGGTCGTATCTATCCGAAAGAACAATAGTATTACCGGATGGAAGAGTAAGAAAGATGACGGCAGGAGTACCACAAGGGTCTGTGATAGGGGGAACTCTGTGGAATGTATACTATGAAACTATACTTAAAATGAAGACCGAAGAAGGCGTGAGCTTGGTTGCCTACGCAGACGATCTAGCGGTGGTAGTACGAGGTAAAGAAGCAAGTGAAGTGATAGATAAGGCCGAGCATTGTATACAGAATATAAGTACAAAATTAGAAGAAACAGGACTTCATCTAGCACCAGAGAAAACAGAGGTCGTGATATTGGAAGGAAGACAAGGACTAAAAGAGGTTGAAATAAAAATAGACAAAGTAAATATAAAAAGCGTAAAGTCCGCAAAATATTTGGGCGTCCATATAGATAAGGACATACGTATGACGACTCACGTGCGAGAGATCACCAAGAAAGCGGCAAGAATAATAAACGCATTAACAAGAATGATGCCAAGAATAGGAGGGCCCGGCCAAGCAAAAAGGAAACTACTGGCTAAGGTGGTAGAGTCGGTGATGTTATACGCAGCTCCGACATGGGAAGTAGTATTAAAACATAAGAAATATGTAAATATGCTAAGATCAATAGAGAGGAAAACAGCAATACATGTAACTTCAGCATATAGGACAGCACCAACGGATGCGGTAGGAGCTTTGGCTGGGTGCCCTCCATATGATCTACTGGTATGGGAGAGAGCCCGCAACTGGGAGTCCAGGGGTGAAAAGAAGCAACAAAACAGGGAGGAGATGTACCGGCGATGGCAAGAGAGGTGGACGAGATATGGAGGATGGGCAAGTCACTTTATAAAAAACGTGGAGAAATGGCAGAATCAAGGACCAAGCAGCAATTACTACGCAACCCAGGCAATATTGGGGCATGGAATCTTCGGGAAATACCTGAATGAAATTAAAAAAATAAGAACAAGTCGATGCTGGTACGGATGTGGCGTAGAGGATACCCCTGAGCACACGGTGTTCGAATGTGCAAGATTTGAGATAATGCGGAAAAGTGCGGAGTTTAGGATTGGAGGGAGTATTAGAATCGAAACGATAGGCGATATATTGGTGGAGACAAAAGAAAGGGGGGAAGAAATAATGTATCTCCTAACTAATATAATGAGGGAGAAGGAAGTAGAGGAGAAGAGAAGAGTTGGAGAGGAGGAAGGTTGTTGAGAGTATGAGGATAAGGGCAAGAGGAACCATGAGGGGAATCACTAGCCCAGAAACAGAGACGGAAGAGATAAAGAACAAGAGAGGGGCCGTCTGCCCGATCAGCCAGGCAACAAAAGGGAAGGCGATGTCTGGACGAAGAACAAATGAGAGGGCTTATGCCCTCTCATCCAGGTATGAGGTAGGAAATAATAATTTCAGAAAAGTAAAAGGATTCCTATGTTTCATGTAACCATCGGGTCTCGAGTGAAGAAACGAAGATGAACGAGATGAAAGTCAAGAGATGGGTGACTGCCCTCTCGTACAGAGGATAAATGGGAAGATGACGACTAGGTGAAGAATAAATGAGGGGGCCTATGTCCTCTCATCCAGGTATGAGGTAAGAAATAAAAGTTTCAGAAAAGTAATGGATTCCTATGTTTTCACACAATCATGGATCTTGAGCTGGAAGGCGAGACAGGAATCACTTAGCCTGAGGCGATCGAGTCCGATCAAGGAAAAGAGTTTTTTGACAAGAGAAGAGTAAATAGAGAAGAAAGAAGAATTTTTTTTGAACACCTATATTCGCCGACACACACACA